GTTATGGGCTCCCCGCGGGCCTGTACGACAAAGCAGCTGACGAGAAGGCGCGCGGCTTGCTGGGAGTTGTAGTCTTGGTCGCCGTGGCCGCCATGTTCATGAGATGTAGGACTGGCATCTGGGAAGGGCCGTGGCCGGGCCCTGAGGTCGTAGGTTACTTTGAGGAACGCGTGTTTTAACTGCCAGAAATCTTGACCTTGGTTTAAGAGTTCCCGACGGATAAATACATAACTAAACACTCAAAATTTGTTTTCTGTTTTACATTTTTATAGTGGAATGTTGTAGGCCTTTTGCTGTGGTTAAGAAACTCCCTGCAGCCCCCAAACCAAACGGCAGCCGGTGGTGTCACGCAGTCACTGCGCACCTGAGGCTGGGCTTCACATGCCCAGATTGAGCTGGGCTTCTAATAAAATGCGAAACACCGGTGAAAATGTGAAACACTGTGCCATGTGTCAAAGAAGTCACGGTACATCAACACGTCACTGTGCCACCCAGGAGCACCAGCAAGTGAATGGAAAAAAAAACCTGCTGAAGGTGTTTCTGTCTGAGAGTCACCTGATGTCCTGTGTACTTGCCAGGCCTTATAGAGGGAGTTATCACCAATGTGTAGACTAAAGGTAAACAGACATTAGAGGAAAAAGAAAAGCAAATAGAGGTGTTAATACAGTGCATTTAGAGTCAGCATATAGGTTCAGTGAAACCTATAATGGCTTGCACAAATCTCCCTGTTATTTTCTAGGTACTTAGGTATGCTTCGTTTGATTATTTGATCCCTACTTTTCTGAGATTAACTTTAAAAGACTAGTCCTAATTCCCATTTCCCACTTTTTTCTTATCGCTCTCTTTTTTTTTTTTTTTAATTGGTGGACAGTATATTTGCTCTTCTCCAGGTTTCTGAAACCATGCATCTCCTCTAGGAATTACTGAAGACATCTACCAATGGGTCTGAGAATGTTTTAGTCAGTTCCTGTCCAGAGCATCTTATTTCAAAACATCCAGTTTATCAAAACTGGTTTTAACCCACACATTTCTAATTAGAGATAAAACAATTGCTTTCCAACTGACATGCTGTCTTGCAGAGTTGATTTGCCAAGACCGTTTTGACTTACTAACGTGGGCACTGTGCCTGATTTCCCAGAGCTGACAGGTGGAAAAGAAGGAAGAACCAGCAGTGGTTTTGTGGAAGTCTGGGCAAGGAAGCAACAGCAGTGATCCAGGGGATCACTGAATTTAATAAAATAAGGCAAACTGTTGTGAGAGATGCTGATAACATCACTATGCCAGATCACTGCTGTGTTAGAAAAGATAACAAGGCTTTATCCTTCTCTAAATGGCTCATCTGCTTTTAGCCATTTAGAAGTCAGGCATCTTGGTAGTTGTCCAGACTCTCTGTGGTCAATGGAGATACAAGTGGGCACCTCTGGAGACATACTCACTCTGCCTATTTTACACATCTGTTTTCAGAGTATATGACTCATCCTCCAGAGGTTTCTATCTCTATTGATCATAGAGGGAACTAAGGTGGCCACTTCAGACTGGATACCTGTATTTTAGACATTTGATGTTAGAAGAGATGAATACCACTCATGAAGATTAAAGGTGTCTTCTCAAAAGTGTTATCTCTGAATCAAGCTTGGGCATTTTTGAGAGTCTGAGGGGAAACTCAATGTACTGTTTCTATTGTAATTGCTCTTCTGATAAACAAGACAGTATCAATCTTCTAGGGTCTCAGTCTATTTCCCCTCCACAGTAGAGGGGAATCCATCTATCCTTAAAAATTTGCCTTGTGGGATACAAAGTCACACATGGGTTTTGTGCTAGTAGCCTCTATCTGCGCCATAAGAATAGATAAAAAAAAAATAGTTATTCTTTGCATGGCCCACCTGTCAGACTTCTTGGGTTCCTATTGTTTTTAAAAATAATTTTACATCATAAGATAATTTGGTTTCCTACTGAAAAGAACCTTACAATTACATAGAATTGACTACTTACACATGGAAGCTGAAGACTCATTAGTTTTTGCTTATGTCTCTATTTTGTCCATACTGGGTCTGAACAACTTCACATTTGGGGTGAAGAGGGTACAGTCCTACAGCTGAAATTTGCTGCTGAAATTCATTCTAGGTAGAAAAAACAGCTGATGAAAGCTAGCTTTCTTAGGTCCTTACAGTGGAAAAAACACTGTTTTGCCAGTTGAAGTAAAAAAAATAGAGAGAGGAACCAAGTTCAGCTCTTTTGTATGATCAGCTGTCACTCTGCAGAGCAGAAGAGCAAAAGAAACTGACGGTACAGTTATTGGGGAATTATTACAGTAAAGCCACGTGAGACACTGGGTTGAATTTTGGCCTGATGTGACTCCCTGACTTTAACAGTTTATCTTGGGGAGCTGTTTTGGCAGCCAGTTGCAGACTGAGTGACAAAAATGGAATTTGATACACTAGGACTGATTTTTACACTGTGTTTGGGAAGCACCTACTACTGCAAGAAGACTCAGCTTAGAGAGGTGCCAGCTGGTACAACTGGAATGATGAGGAGGAGAAGGGGGAGGAGGATACCATGTAATTAATAAACTGCTCTTTAGAGAACAGCAACATCTGAGAAGCAGACATAGATTTTAAACAGCTTGTTCTTTTCATGGTTTGCTATTCTTCTTTGAACCAAATCAGTCCCTCTTATGTAACCAAGCTAATCCTGCTTCGGAAATAGTGTAATTTAGGACCATTAAAAATATTAATATTCACTTACTGGCTCTGAAGTTTGTTAGCCAGTGTGTTCCACTGTTTCATACAGAGCAAATCTTCAGCATTTACTGCAAAATTATATATCTCAATAAACCTCTATTGCATTAGTACAAAGTTGACATTTAATTACTGCTTTTGAAACTGGGCTTCGCTCCGTGGCGACTGACTACAGACACTGGACCCAACCGTGCTGAATTGTACCATGATGCAAACAATAAAGACTGTATGATTGCTTCAACAGCCAGAGGTAAAAAGCAGAAAATAGGGGTGGTGAGTTGAAATGGGGAGAGAAGCACAGATGAATTTTTCCCTGCCTCCAAATGGTTCTTTTTAGTTGTAGCAGCACTGCTCGCAGAAACTGGCTACAATTTCTATTTGAAGAGAACACATTCGCCACGTCTGTGACACGCTCACGCTCTGTTCCCACACCAGGACATTCTATCAGTGTGTCCAAGCTTGCACCTTGCGTTGAATAAAGGCCTTTTTTTACCAAGCAGGACAGAGGAGACGCTCCAGCTGTCGTTACACCAGGTCTCATAGCACCTGTGGGCTGGGATCGCTAGAGGGCATTACGAATCTATTCGTCTGCACAAGCGTGTGTAAGTAAGTATACACACGCACACCAACGTTCACCTTACAAAACAGGGCTAGTTAATATTTGCCGCATTGGTCTGCGAGAGAGGTGCCGTGACAGCAACAGCCCTTTGCGCGCTGGGTCTGTCTGATAGCGTCCGTACGCAGTCGGCGGTTGTGGGTGTAAAACCCTGGCAGTGGCGGTCTGTCTAACCACAAGGTGGAGGAACTGCTCTACTTATGATGCCGTGGAAGACCTGCTTGACTTATGATGCCATCTCAGCTGGCATGAAATGTACACAACTGTGCCGGCAAGTTTTATTACTATCATTAGTTAATTGTTACAGTGCATCAATGCCTGGGGGTCCCATTCAGGACCAAAAGTCCTTATGCTAAGTGTGATATAGATACAGCCCGCAGTCCCGCCAGGAGCTTCCTGCAGGTAGATCCCAGTGCCTCGTGCAGCGCTCAGGTCTGCAGTCCTTCAGGAGATCACTGTGATCTCTTTCTCTGCGTAGTATAGCTATACTGTTAGAGATCTCTCCGATTCAGTGAGGCTCTCCAAAGAGATCGGCGCGTGGGGAGCTCCAGGCAGTCGTGCTCAGATGTAGCAGCTGTATCTCCAGTGCTCTGACAGAGCGTTCCAGGGAGCAACCACAACGGTGACATGCTTTACCTCCCCTTCGCCTGCCACCCCCATGCTGTCTGTCAGGCTGTTTGACAGTTGCTCGTCAGATGTCCTTGCAGATTTATTTACCCAGGTAGATGAGCTCTAGAGGCGGTAGTATGGGTGAAACAACTCAGGTCACAAGTGGAAGCTCACGGTCTGACTGGTAGGTGACCATGGACATAAGGATGACCTTCAGGGAACCCTGGGTAGACAGCATTTCTAAAACAAATGGTTTACTATGCCGCTAACCTAAAAGAGACTTAATTGCTAGCTCCTTTAAGGTGATCAGCCAAACTCCATTGATTTCAACAGAGCTAGAGCTTCCCTTGTAGTCTGTACTCAGGAGATAATCTCCCAGCTTGC